GCAGGTGTATCTCCTGGGTCCTGGCAACCTTTCTTTCTGTCCTGTGATCAGGGTGATGACTTGTCTATTATTGTGTCTCAGATTCCTTTACTGTGCTTGGAATTTATCTATAATCTGCCTTTTAATTTAGTCTCAGCGTTATTTTGATCTGAGTAGGTTCCGCCTCCTGTTGGGACTCGAACTTTGTGAAAAGAAGAGAGAGTGATGCGTGGGCCACACCAACACACAGCTTATTATGCAGCCTTCTGTCGGCGTGTTCTCAAGCCGTCCAGCTTCCCATCTCAACAACTAACACTTTAGTGTCCCTGTGACTTCATGTGCCAAGCGGGGAACACAGACACGGCCAATTCCAAACCAAAGCAGAAATGCCGAATCCCCTCCCCCATCGCCTCTCTTGCTTTCCTTACTCTTAGCAATGTTCTCAGCACCTGCCTCTTGTTTCACAAAATGAGATCCAAGATCAAAATCAGAGGTTCCAGATTCAGTTTGCAAGATCCAAAGAGTGATTGGGATCAGCAGTGGTGGCTGTACAATACTGCGAATATAGTTAATGCCACCGAATTGGATTTAAAAATGGTTAAGGTGATCATGACACATGAGTCTTACCACAATGGAAAAATACGGACATATGGAACAAAAGCAGAGATTTTGACTCTACAGACGCTGGTGAGTGATAAAACTGTGTGTGTAATGAGTCTGTCAAGGAGGCTATTGATTAAGCTTCTGCCTTAGACAGCCTGGGGCTGGTCTGTGCTCCCTTCTCTGAGGATGCTTGGGGCCTTTGGTGCCTTCATGCACAGCACCACTACTGTAGTATGGCCAGGGGTACACTAGTAAGTGGGGTTTTGTGTGTAAAAACTTTTTTTTTTTTTGGTTTTTCGAGACAGGGTTTCTCTGTGTAGCTTTGCGCCTTTCCTGGAACTCACTTGGTAGTCCAGGCTGGCCTCGAACTCACAGAGATCCACCTGGCTCTGCCTCTCGAGTGCTGGGATTAAAGGCGTGTGCCACCACCGCCCGGCCATGTGTAAAAACTTTAATGAAGCATAATTCACTCATTTAAAGTGTGTAATATGGCCCAGCCTCAGGGGGGGGGGGGGTACAGGACTGTAATTCCAGATACTTGGGAGGCTGGAGTGGGAGGATTATAATTTTTAGGCTCGCCTGGGATACAGAGTGAGCCCAAGGCCAACCTGGGTAAATTAGTGAGACCCTATCTAAAAAGAAAAAAAAGATGCAAGGGGTATGGCTCAGAGGTAGAGTGCTTACCTGGTGTGTGTTAGGTCCTGGGTTCGATCCCCAGCATCACAAAATAGTAGTAATGAATAAACAATAGTAAGGTGTAGTGTACAAATGTTAGAACATTCTCATTACCTCACTCCTCAAAACAAACAAACAAACAAACAAACAAACAACCCCCACACTTAGTTTAGGCATTCTTCTTCCTTTCCATTCAGAAATTAGTCCATTTTCTGTCTCTAATGGAGTTTCCTGTTCTGAACTTTTGATATAAATGACATCATACAAATGTGACCATTTATGGGTGACTATTTTGACTTCACAGATGTTTTTTATGTTGTACATGTATCAGTACCTCATTCCTTTTGTGGCCAAATAGTATTTCATTATATGACTATAGCACACTTTATTTACCTATTAATTCATTGATGGACACGTGAATTGTTTTCATCCAATACTAGTAACTACTAAACAACCAGTAATATGAAAAAAAAAATCCTGAGGGTAGGAAGATGGCTCCATGTGTAAAGCAATTGTTGCCCAAGCCTGGTGAACTGAGTCTGGATCCCCAGATGCTATGAAAAAGCTGGTTGCAATAGCATAAGCATCTATAGTCCCAGTGGCCAATGGGAAATGGGAGGTGGAGGTAGGACTCTCCAGAAGCTTGTGGCCCAACTAGCTTGGTTTTCACAGCAGTGAAGAACCTGTCTCAAACAAGATGGAGAAGGAGGACCCCTGCTCCCGAGGTTGTCCCTGACTTCCACATGTGCCGTGGCACCCATCCCTATCACCACACACATCACACACACCCAAGCACATACATGCACGCATGCACTCTCTCTCTGATACACACAGGGACCTAGAGACAGAGACAGAGACCGACTGACTCACTCACACTCACAAATCCAGACTTGGGGCATTTGTAGACTTCCACAGCACACACATTTCCATCATGGCTGACTGTAAGCCGCATGAGGAAACTGGACATTCATTGGAAACATAGGCTAAAATAAGCTCTCGTGAGCGCCTCCTAGCCAGTTCTAGCAGACCATGAACCATCCCTCCTGATAGGTCACTGAAGTGACCAGAATGTGATTGTGTGCAGTAAGATTTCCACACACCATTGAGAGGACTGGTACGAATAAAGACAGCAGAATAGCTAACGTGTATTAAGCTCTTTCTGTGATCTGGGCACTGTGCAGAAAGAACATTTTTTCTTGAATTCTTCATCATCACTTACTTTCTTGGCAGCTGTCAGCTCCTAACTACCAATATCCTGCTTCTGGCTCTCTGCCTCTAGTTGGTCTCCACGCTGTTTCACAAATACTCCAACGTGTTCCTCCTCACAGTGTTGGAGTGTGCTCCTCCGGCCTGGTGGGCTGTTATTCAAGCTGTAACATGTCTCATTGTCATCAGGTTTCTGCCGAGCTGTCCTCTCCTCAGAAAGGCTGCCTAGGCACCTCTCTCCTTCAACCAGTCCTTTCCTAAGCTTGACTCTTCCTGCTGCCTGTCACTGATATCCTGTTTCTCTGTATGTTTACTTTGTTTTCTGTCACCCCATGAGCCCCAAACACACAATCTGTGAATATGCTGGACTTTACTAACTTGTGACTTTTTATTTATTTATTCTTCAGGAACTTATTTACTTTTGTTTTCTGTGTATGAGTGTTTGGTCAGTGTGTATGTATGTGCACCATGTGTGTGTTTGGAGCCTGTGGAAGTCACAAGATAGCATTAGATGCCCAGAAACTGAAATGAAGCATGATTGTGAGCTGCCATGTGGGTGCTGGGAGCCAGGTCCCCTACAAGAACAGCACTGCTCTTGACTGTTATGCCTTCTCTCCAGCCCCTTATTTATATTATTATTATTATTATTATTATTATTATTATTATTATTATTATTATTATTATTGTATTTAGACAAAGCATCTCATGTAGCCCAGGCTGGTCTTGAACTTTTGATCCCAATACTTCCAACTCCCAAGTGCTGGGACTAAAATCCAGGGACTTCTTACCTACTTTATGTAGTGTTTAACTTTGTGCATGCTAGTCAAGGATTCAACCAACTGATCTATATCCTGAGCCCTGGATTATAACTTCAAAAGAGTGAGTTGAAAGCTATGTGACTCCCACATCGATAAAGTTACTACGGAACAGCAGCGGCCATTTCCTTCATCCTGCCGGTCACACGCAGTACAGCAGTGTTCTGAATGAGGCAAGAAAAGCACAGGGACCTTTCTTAAATTCACACTGGTGTTCTGGTCCCAAGGCTACGATGACTAAGCAGGGGCATTTGGAATTAAAAATTTTGAATAGCATTTATTTATTCATTTATTTATTGTGTGTGGGGGTGGGCAGCACTGAGGTCAGAGGACAGTTTGTGAGAGTCAGTTCTTTTCCGGTCACGTGCATCCCTGGATGGAGCTGTGGTTGTCAGGCTGGGTAGAGCGTGCCTGTATCAGGTGAGCTCTCCTGCTGGCTGACATGGAACTCTTGAGCAAGTGTTTGTTACTCCTGGTGTTGTAAGAAGACTACTTAGAGGACATTCTATCTCACCATTTACCTTCTTTTTCTGGTCTAATTTCTGGCACAGATGTGACTCTTGTGGCACAGATGTGACTGGCCTGGTGCAGGTGGGAGGAAGTCTGGTGACCTGTCTGAGAGTGTGCCTCCCTCTCGAGCCAAGCTAATGAGCATATTATGCCACTTGGCCGTGAGCCCTGCCTGGGTTAAGTTACTCAGTTTTCCAGCATTTTCTGTCTTTAAAGTAGGATAATAAACCTCAGTGCCAGGTTGAGAGAATTTAATTCCTGTGTTAATTTAAGGTTTAATATACCTTGCCTACTCAGCTCTGGTGTCCACTTAAGTGGACATCAACTAAGGCTGCCACATGGAGCCTCTGAGAATCCCTGCTTACCTCCTTTGCCTCTCTGGTCTATCAGTCTCACCCCTGGCATTCTGGAAGAGCCTCCTATTCTGGAAGTGGTCCAGGTTCTGCATCTGCCCTGTTCTCACAAAAGCAGAGGTACCCGTCCTTCAAGAAAGTATCATCACCCTGGTCCTCTGTGTCTAGCTTACCCGCTAGGTTTGGAAGAGGCCAAAGGGGAAACCTTTGGTTAGCATGACTAGTCAGATCGAAAGGACTGCCAGGGTAGGGCCAAGAGGAACCTGTCACAGTGCAGACATCTGGGTGCGTAAGCCCCAAGACCTGGTGACTTTTGAGAGAGAAGGAAGAGAAGGTGAGAACTCTTTAGTGAGAGGAAGAGAACCGATGGATCTAGTGTGCAGCAGAAGAGGAGCCTCGCGTCCGCGGGTCCACGAGCCCCCGCTCCAAGGGGTCTCCCTAAATCAGAGTAAGTGAGTTTTACCCCCTCCTTCAAAGTACAGCTCCCCTCCGAGAGAAGGGAGGTGGTGAGTATCCCCGAGTTTCGTTAGATTCAAGAATCTCTTACACAGGGAACTTCAAGGAAACTAGTTTAATTAATATTTACTGCAAGCCCACAGAGTGCTGGGTAGTCCGAGGAACCGAGCAAACTAAAAGTACAGTCTCATCCTAGAAAAATAAAACCCGGGCTGACTCTGGGGACCCTCCTTTCTTCAGAGTGCACTTTGGGTTCTGATCCTCACAAATTATCAATATTTCTCAGTACTTGGACTCCCACTGGGCTCCCCAGGGGCCTTCTGGAAAGCTGAAGGATTAGGGGGCGGAGCGGGGCGGGCTGGGGAGGTGAGGCTGGAAGGGCGGCGCGCGGGGTGGAGGGGGGCATCTAGGTGCGTTCCCCACTCGGCGCTGCGCAGAGACTCTTCCAGGAACCGCCTGGCACCCTGGGCCGTGGACTTTGGCTGCTGTGCGTCCCGTCTGCTCCTCCTCTCCTACCCCCAGCAGGCGCAGAGCCTCACTCCGGGGCGTGTCCTGCCTACCTCCGGCTCACAGTGGTCCACTCTGCCGGCTCCAGCGGCGGCGGAGCGGCGGCTGCGGGAGCTGGAGCAGCGGTGGCGCGAGCCGCCCGGGAAGCAGCGGTGGCCGCGGCCAGCGCTCCGGGCCAGCACCTGTGCGGAGCAAGAGGAGCAGGGGTAGGGTGGGCGGCAGAGGCTCGGAGCCTCGGAAGGAGCGGGCACCTCCCAGCTGGGATCCTGCTGTTCTTATCACCCTCTTGCTGGTCCGCAGGGAGGTAGCACGGAGCTGGGGACCCTGGTGTGGGCAAACATGTGCAGCAACAGCTAGAGGCCTCGGGACAGGTTACCGTGTGGTCCAAGAGTAGAGAGACGAGGCAAGCGATCATGGCAGCCTCCAGCATGGACTTCGGGGAGGTGGAAACTTTTCTGGATAGGCACCCAGAGTTGTTGGAAGATTATTTGATGCGGAAAGGGAAGCAGGAGCTGGTGGACAAGTGGCTACAGAGGCACAGTCCGGGACAGGGGGCTTCGGGCCTGAAGCCTGCCCTGGCTGGCACTGGTAGCTTGGCTCAGAGTAGTGGCCAAGGCAGCACTGGGATAGGTGTTAGTGCTGGACCCCAGGGCTCTGCCAACAGCCATCCCACGCCCGGTGGTGGGGAAAGTGCTGGGGTTCCCCTGAGTCCCAGCTGGGCCAGTGGCAGCCGGGGCGATGGGAGCCTGCAGCGGAAAGCTTCACAGAAAGAGCTGCGGAAGAGCTTTGCCCGCTCTAAAGCTATCCATGTGAACAGGACCTACGATGAACAGGTGACCTCCCGGGCCCAGGAGCCCATGAGCAGTGTCCGGCGGAGAGCCCTGCTCAGGAAGGCCAGCTCTCTGCCCCCTACCACAGCCCACATCCTCAGTGCCCTGCTGGAATCGAGAGTGAATCTGCCTCAGTATCCCCCTACGGCCATCGACTACAAATGCCACCTCAAAAAGCATAACGAACGCCAGTTTTTCTTGGAACTGGTCAAGGACATTTCCAATGACCTTGACCTCACCAGCCTAAGCTACAAGATCCTCATCTTTGTCTGTCTCATGGTGGACGCTGACCGTTGCTCTCTCTTCTTAGTGGAGGGGGCAGCTGCTGGCAAGAAGAGTTTGGTCTCCAAATTTTTTGATGTACATGCGGGAACCCCACTGCTCCCCTGCAGCAGCACAGAGAACTCAAATGAGGTGCAGGTCCCCTGGGGCAAAGGCATCATTGGCTATGTCGGGGAACATGGAGAAACAGTCAACATTCCTGATGCCTATCAGGTAGGGTTTTGCTTGTCCTCTGGTCCCCCAGCCCACTGGCTTGGCAGCCACGCCTGCCCTCATCCTTTGACAACCAGGACCATTTTTATTTAGATGCTTTGCAATATAGTCTTGCTATTTAAGTTCCTTCTTGAGTTTAGTTAGAGTGTTAAACCATCTTTGATGGAATGGTCTTTTCCTAACACAATGGCTTATGGGAAATTTGTGTACCACTCAATAATACCACATGTGTCTCTATCAAGATACTATCCTTAAGAACATGTCTTATGGTTTAAATGCATCTATGAACTTCTAGAAAGAGGTGTATCTTCTAGAATCCTGGTGTTATCCTGAAGAAAATGGGTATTTTGTGTCTCTGGTGTTTGCTGGGGTGGGGGTGGCGTGAGGGGTGGGATATGGTGATTTTTCATACTCTATTTCAAGGTTGGAAGGTGAACAGAACACCTACCTACATACTTGATGTCTACCTTTTCTCTAGTAAATTTGCATGAGTCCCAAGGTAGGAAAGATGCAAAAGAGAGGAGGAAAGACCGGGAGACTGAATCTCTGACCCATTCTGGTCTTCTTCCTATCTGCTTCAGTGGAGCGTAGAGAGGTTGGACAAGTAAAGGGACTAGTCATCTTCAAGCTTGGATACAGCAGTCAGCTTTAGACAGAGGGGAGCAAGTGGAGTTTTAGTTTGTAAAATACCCCCATTGGAATATTTTTAGCAATTCCTAAGGCAATAGGCACAGCGAGCATGCTGGATGTGAGTGGAAAAGCAAGCCCAACATGCTGTTGTCTGTTTGCCCTGTCTTTTCATTTTTACAGTGATTTGAATGTGATATGAGATGCTGGATCTGAAAGGCAGTCAGTTTTCATTCCTTCAGTCTCTGAGTGGTGGAGCTGGGTATCACTTTCTGTGAGATGTCCTCAGGGTTCCTAAGAATGGAAAGTTCTTCCCCTTGGTTCTGTGGTCATTTCACGACTATATCTTGTCTCACAGAGGCATGCGTTTCTCTAGAGTTTGGATGCTATTGAGCACAACAGCAAAAGTTGTAGGAAGGACATATTTTTTGTACTTTTTTTTCTTTGTTCCATCTGAAAGTTTATAGTTTTACATAGACCAACTGAGCTGAGCTAAACCCAAGTCTCATATGTTTGTGACTTGTCTGTCAACATGACCCTTTAATCTTAAGGAATGTCTAGGAAAATAATTTTGTTTTGTTAATCTTTTGTTATTAATTAGATACATTATTCATTATATCCTTCTTAAAGACTTTGGTAAGTTGAGGATCAGCAACCTAATTATGATTTTCAATTAGTGTCAGTTTCTCTATAGTCCTAGAAAGTCATGGGAAGGAATGAAAACATTTAATAATTGTTATGTTAAGAGCCTATAAAATATCATAAAGATCACAAACCCTTTCCTACTCTTTCCACACCTCTGTTGTGTGTGTGAGCTACAAAAGTCCCTCCCAAATGGGATGATACTTGTAGAACCTTGGAAAGTCGTCATTTTATTGCCTTTACATTTCTTATTCATCCACAATTGAGTTTCCCCTATTTCCCTGGCTTTTAAAAAATTGTTCTCTTTCAGCTCATAACTTTCCTTTGATATTGTTCATATACAGCACTTTCTTCAAGACTATAATTCTTGGCATCCTCAGCCTGTCTTCCTGATGCCTAGAATTGTGGTTATGGATGTTGTGACAGGCACAGCAAATCGGTTCTCAGCAGCTGTTGTTTCCTGTGAGCTCGGCCCTTGGTCTGCAGACAGAGTGTAAAGCGAGTTGCCTTTTTGTATTTGGAAGCCGACATGGGAGAAGGGAGCTTTTTCTTTTCCCTTTTTCCTCCAGGGCAGAGACAGTGGCTATAAATAAGACAAGCTTGTCGTAGAGTTGAGGAGGGAAGGTAGGTGGAAGGTGTTATAGGGAGCTTAGGTCTTGGGTCACTTTAGTTTCACTTGTTTGGGGTGAGAAACTTTTTATTACTATTATTATTAATTATTTACTTTACCATTGACTTCTGCTATGTGTCTGTGTATTTTCAGTTGTTAGTGTTTTCTTTCATTTTACCTATGATACTCTGATAAAATTGATTTTTCCTTTTGTTTTAATACATTATCATCATCATTAGTAGGGCCTAAGGAGAATTAATCTCACAGTCTCCATTTCTTTACCCACAAAATGGGAACCATACACTATCTGGCAAAGGTTATTGTGTGGACATGAAGTTAGAAGCTGCACCAAAGCTCCCGAGGCAGGACCTGGCGCGTGGCAATTATTCAAGAAATGGCGACAGTCTCTGGTGATTGTGGTGGTGGTGGTATCCGGCTTGTCCGCATTCTTCTCTTTCCCTCCTTTCAAGCGTTCTTCTTATCTGAGACTCAGGTATGAACTCAGCACATTTGACCAGTCTAATTTTTCCCTGAACCGTGCTCCATCTTCAAAGCAACCGTTTTCAAACCAACATTACATTCAAGGAATATATAAATAGCTGTTCTTCTATTCTTAAGAGTCCCTTAAGTGTCATTGATGACACCTAATCATATCTAGTCTAGCGAAAGCTCGATGCTTTGTTCCTCTAGGTAAGTTTTCCAGAGCTGCATTACTGCCTCCTTCCTCTGTTCCAGCATTTCCCCCATCCTTTCCCTTCTCTGTGTTTACAGAGTTCTCATAATGAAGACCGAACCTTTCAAATGTCTATCTTTAATCAAAGTTATTTTATATGCATGGGTGTTCTGCCTGCACATGTCTGTGCATCGCATGCATGCAGTACCCACAGGGGCCAGAAAATGGCATTGGATACACTGGATCTGGACTTAGAGATGCTTGCAATCTGTCATGGGGATGCTGAGCATTGAACCCTGGTCCTCTGGAAGATCAGTGTCCTTAACTGCTGGGCCATCTCTCCAGGTTTGCCCTTTAATTATGATGCATTAAGTAATTCTTATGTATGTAAACATTTTGAAGTCTCTATGTAAAACTATAACCATCCTTCTTGATTCTTTACAAATCCGTATAGTTAAAGGTGTGTCTTGCTCAGATTCAGTTAGTATCCTTTTTTTCTTCAGGAGAATGAAATTTTATCACACAAAGTTTCAAAAATTTAATTATTGGGTAATTAGGTTAATGGTCTTAATCATTTGGGGGCTTCATTTTTCTTCAAGAAAAAGGCATTAAAGACATTTATACAATTATGATAATGTAATGGCATCCTGAAGTCAAGGGTAGAATATTTAATGAGATACTAAGGTTGAATAGGAGTTGGGCAGCAAAAATAAATCTCCTTTGCTTTCACTATTTTGAATTGCATTTCTTAATTGGTCCTAGGAAACAGGATTGAAATTAGGGGAAAAAACAAAGAGTTGCAAGTGGAAAAATACATTCCTTTTAGGTATCTAGTTTGATCATAGTGACTGTAATTTACCTTTCTTCTCTGACAGTTATAAGTTATTAAACAACCCACTTTAATATAGTAATGAATAAATTGCCCTCAAGAGGTTGCAAATAAGAGCACTTAAGTAACAGGTGTTCTCCTGGAGATTATTCCAAACACCCAGAATATAACACTTTAGACATTAATAAAATGCGAGATGAGTCTGTGTTGGTGTTGATAATGACGATACAGGTGTTTGATGGGTTTGGATCTGAAAAGCAGCAGGCTGTTTTGTTAAGTGAACCGGGAGGAGGAAAGGGGATGACGCAGGAGAGTTCCAGGTGTGCTAGGTTTTCAGAAGACTTGATCTGTTTACACAACAGAGTCACTAATTCGTCAGATCCAACTGTCAAGTACAGAGGCCCATTATACCCAGCAGTGTCCAAGGGTAAGAGGGCACACTTCCTGTCCCCCAAGTGCTCAATGTGGAGAGCTATGCACTTACCCTCTGCCACATTATGCTCAATGGTGAAGCAGGATGGCATCCCTTCCAGAGTCACTATGAGCTCAGCTTGTTATGGAAGACTCCCTGAAGGAGGCACCATGCTAACTGTTAAAAAGGGTCAGATTTCCTGGCTGGAGATGATTTTGAGGCTTGGGGAAGTGTTTTAGGTACTACAAAATGGCTTCAGAAGAGAGTGACATGCAAGCACAAAATGTATCCAGGTGACAAGGATGTTTTCACTCAGCTAAAAGATCGCATGTGCTAGATATAGTTCAGGTGTGCGAAAGTGAGTTGAGACCACATGAAGGACCTTGAGCATCTGATAAAAGAATTTGCTGACAGTAGGCCACAAGAAGCTCATTAGCATGATCAAAATGGCACATTGGGTACCTGGGTGGCAGTGACTGAAAGGATTGAACAGATGAAGACTTGAAGCTTCGAGAATAATTAGGAGTACGTTATGACGACCTGGTGGAGTCATGATGAACAACTGAATTAAAGCAGAGACAGGGGTTGGGGAAGGGGGGTTGGCAGCAGGGAACGGATGGGAGGATGTGTCCTGTAGGTGAGAATTTGGGTGAGGGGCGAGATTAAATCAATGGTGATTCGGAGATTCTAAGCTTGAGAGATATGGAGAGGGGTAACAGCTTTATCAGAACACCGGAGTCATCAGGATGTAGTGGCCCAGGCCTCCAATCCCAGCCTTCTGTGCATACGATCAGGACAATTGCTCTAAGTTTGTGGCTTTGAGGCCAGGTTGAGCTACAGAGTGGGACCCTCTCTTAACACAAAACAAAGCAAGCCAACAAATAAAACCTCAACTAGAGAGAGAAACCAGGTTAGCAAAAAAGCTGTGTAGGGCCAGCTGTGTCATCAGTGGAGTTGAGTGTAAAATGATGGCACCGAGACGTCCTCATTCCCAAGAGTCAGAGCTCCAAACCACAGCCACTTCCGGACACAATGACTGCAACTTCTAGGCTGACAAACTCTTGAATCTGGCCCTGGATGATGGTGCCTCCAGCTCAGGGTGGAGATGATCACAAACTTGTGCCACCCTGAGCTGGCATGGGCCACGCGGTTGCTCTTACACTTCCACTCAGACCCCACTCAGCAGCAAAGAGCTACAGCAGATGTG